TCACTCGATCGATCATCCACTGCACTGGCTGCACTGGCACAGCGATTCACTGACTTGAAGTCTGGCCCCGCAAGGACGGAAGGTCTGGTTGACAAAGCTGCCTTTTTTTGCACGGAACGCAGAATCCATTGTACCACCGTGTAGTACAACTAGTCTAAGAAAACTCGCGAACAAAACTCTGAACGACGCTGGAGGCGCTGCTTGGAGGAATAGGATTACAAGTAAGGTAACTATAGCTCCAATTCTATATAAGACCAATTAAAGTATCTATAACCCTAGTCAGCCTAGTTACTGAGTCCCATGATACTCCAGGGCATTGGGGCGGGGCCCAGAAACCAAATCAGATGCTTAGTGTGGCCAGGGCTGGGATCGCGGGGACTGGGGTCTGGCGGTCCATAGTCTAGAGTACAATCTATAGACTCTAGAACCCGAGGTAATTTTATAAGCTTTTCCCCTGACCCCGGACCCCTGACTCGTTATGGACAGCATCCTTCCTCCAACACTTCCGTCCGTGCAAACTGCTCGACCTGCAGACAGGCTTCTGTGCCGCTCATGTTGTACTCGGAGGCAGGCCTCCTGCTGTCTGTTTGCAGATGCTGGCCGAGCAAATTATGAATCATGATGTGTGCTCGTGTTGTGACACTCCTGCCAGGTAAAGCAACCTGTTCCAAACATTTGCAGATAGCAGTGGTGCTACTAAAGATTTGTGGATATCTGTTACAGGCAATCTGACAGTCTCCTGGCGTAGGATGAACGATGCTGTCAAGTTCGTGGCTCTCCAAAGTCTACTGTCTACAGAATAGTCTAGAAACCCTGGGGCCCCGGTCACAGTCTGAAAGCATTACCAGGTGTAGTAACTCGTTCGTGACAGCATCGTTCCTACAACACGAGCAGCAGGTAGGCTGGCCTCTGTATGTTACGCATGTCCAGCTGACTCTGAGAAAGACCGCGTGAAATCCTTGCTTCTGCAATCTGCAGGTAAAGCAGACTGTTCTTCGAATCTAGTCTGCTGCAGCGTCAGCATCGTCAGCCGTGATTGTCAGCTCTGACGTGGACCGGAATCGAAATGAGGAAGGCGAGGCACAAGGGGACAGGGAGCCGACGATATACGCAGCCCATGTTCCAATGACAGCACGATGCATGGCATTCCCGGACAAGTTCAGAAACATGCTGTCAAAACATGGATCCACGGCCTTGTCAAGCACGAACTGCTTCCACGGACTCTTGTCCTCTAGCAGCGGGACGCCTTGCAGCAGCATGTGCTCTGCTGGCAAGGCCGTGCGCTGCAGCTTGTGGCTCCAGATCCTTGCTGCATATGGAAAGCAAGAAAGCAAAGCCAAAGTGTTTTCAGACCGAACGTACATTATCCCCCCTGGGCATGCAAGCGGCAATGATCCACGAAGAAGGCACGGGGCACTGTTTGCGACCGTGGTCCACTCGGCGGTCTGGGACAAGTCGACCAAGAAGTCCTCGCCCAGCTCGCCCCCGTCCTTGGCAGCGAGCTCCTCAAATTCCTCAAGCATTTTTCTCTGCCGCGGAGTCAGCACTCGTCTGAAATCAGCTGCTTCGAGAAGGCCTTCTTTGTGGCAGAGTTTCTGACGGAGTTTGTTTCGGAAGTATTCCTCGACGATGTTCGGTGGCATAGCCAGTAGATCGCTGCCCGTCATGGCCGCAGAAGCACCGAAATGAAACTCGAAGTCGGACTGCGAAGCGGAACAGTGCCATCGACGATGGACCAAAGCAGTGAAGCGCCTTGGCCGTCTCACCGGCCATCCAATGTCCAGCCTAGGTCAGCAGAACTGGTTCACTCCATGGCCCTTCAATGCTAGAGGATAACGCCACACTTGAACATCCATTTTGCGCCCAGTAACGGTGAAAGGGTGAACTGGAAGGCAGAGTACCTCAGCCACCGAGGCAGGGCACACACACACACACACACACGCATGAAGTTCGATCAACTACATAACTGCGACAAGGCACAAGTCTTCGAGCCCATCCATGAGATGCTCCACGTGGAATCGCATAACGTTCTCGCGCAGGAGCAAGTCTGGCTGGTGGGCTTTGAGGCCCTCCTTCCACCACAAGAAAGAGACCTGCGAAGGACCATGCGACCTGAGGGCCTTCTGGTTCATCGACGACCAATCGTAGCAGCATGTGCCACTCACTTGGATTTCCAAGCACCTTCGGTTTGTGGCCCGGGCAAGACAGGCCTCCGGCGCCAGAGCCGGAACATCTTGCTGTTTCCAGCGACAGAAGACTTTGTGGTCCAGTGGAAAGTAGCTGGACAGGTTGTGGTGGACTTCCGTCGCCAAGTTCTCAGTGCGGTTGGCAACAACTCAAGACAGAAAGCCTGGGCACACAAGCCCAAAGGCGAAGCCCTCAAAACCGACCCTGGTGAACAACTACAAATTCAACTGTGAAGCAGCTAAGGAAGCTTTATTTTGAGCAAGCGTCTTTCAAGAAGGCAGATCTCTCCTCGGCAGTCGCCTGAGCAGTTGGAGCAAAAGGCGCAATGTCGGACATCATGTCTTTGGACACAAAGTCCTCCACATAGCCAAAGAGATGCTTTGCACGACTTGTTGCCGACAGCGCCTGCACTGCATGAACATCCGGGTCGCAGACGCTGTGCACGACGGGTTCCAACAGGTCTGCAGAGTCTGTGCCCTCTGCAAAGTGAAAGTGCTCCTTTAGCGCGGTGATGGCATCAAGCAAGCCTTCCTCTCCATTGCCACACCCGCTATGGTCGGAGTAAATCACCATGCAGTTGCCATTGGCCAAGTGGGCTTTCCAGCCATATCGCAAACGTGGTATGCGATGAAGCTTGGCTGCCAACTTCGACGGCCAGTCGTAGAGGTCGCCGATTGTGCTGCCTGCACGATCCCGAATCATAACCCGCTGGCGCTTGCATGACATCCTCATTGGCCGTGGGGCCCAAAACCTTGGTTTCGGCACAGCTCCAACGAAATCAGCAATACACACCGAACGAAACCGAGTACAGTACATCTTGCAGCGAAATTCCGACACCCGCCGACTGGTGAAGCTATGATGGGTAGATGTGGTTAACACTCTCATGATCTCTCATGTGTACACCCCATCCCTCTGACCGCCCCTGTTACAAAGAAAGACGGATGTTGAGGTTGAAGTGTGCAATGAACATTGGATTTACAAGTTGTCTGTGCTCATCTTGACCGTGTGAGAATGGAATCTTGTAGCTGCTATCCGCGTTCATTGTGCCTCTTGGGTTAACGGCCAGTGGAAATTATTACCTTTAACGATCGTTCCCTGAAAAGCAAAAAATAGAGTTGTTGTTTAATTGGAGAAAGATGAATTCAGCCTATAAACACAACTGCGCGGCAGTAGGAGTTCTGTTTACACAAAACTGTGTTTTCTATTGGCCTTTGGGCTGCATCTTGAGTAGCCACATCGCGTCGGTGAGCATGTAGAATCGCAACCGACACCCGCCGACGTCCGAAAGTACGAAGCGCGCGCGTCATGTTTTTTCTGACGTTTTGCGGCCACCCCATCATGCCGTATTGGATGCAAACTTTTCTGATCGAACAACCGGTTTGCAGTCAATTCTTAAGTTTGAAAGCCTGAAACAGAAATCGGTGTTCATGTAGCATCATGTAGCACTTGTATCGACAATCTCCCCGAAGCTCCCCGAAGCTCCCCGAAGCTCCCCGAAGCTCCCCCTCAGCTCCCCGAAACTTTCCCCAGCTGCCCGCCACCTTTTCACAAGCCCAGCCGGACCACCACTTCCCAAAACCAAGTCCTTTATTACAACCTGCTCATGTCTGCATCACCCATTCCCATCGGATGTCTGGGGCACTTGGACACAGTCCCGGCTGCTTGGGCTCCCCGAAGCTCCCCGAAGCTCCCCGAAGCTCCCCGAAGCTCCCCGAAGGTTGTGGCAGCTCCCCGGACCTTTTTGCAGAACACGACACACCAGCACCAAAAGCTTGTCACGAGGTGCCGGGCAACCACACCCCAAAACAGTTCGCGCACAAAAGACCAAAGCAAATGGGGCAGCACTTCAGGACTCCGCAAAACTTGGTTTCAAGCTGGGGAACACACGATGTGGTCCTGGAAGCTCATGTTGCTCTGTTTCAGCGGTTCCAGCATGGCAATGAAGTGTTGTATTCGCAAAAGAAACTGGACTGTGTGGAAACGACAGACGTGCTATCTTACACAACATGACTACAACACTGAAAAGCCTCGGAACATGGCTGGCGGCTGGCAATGCATAGCACACATCAGCATCTATATGACCCAGAAGCGGCGGACTTCGCTCCTCAACGACAGATGCAGAGGTACTTCCAACGCCGCACCAGCTGCGCCCCTGACCCCAAAAAGGCTGCTGCTGCTCGGCTGAGCACCTTTTTTTAGGGTTTGGGTCTAAACCACAGGGTCTTAGGCTTAGGGTTCGGGAGCTCGGCTGAGCGATCCTAGCGTCTTAGAACTGGGCCTAAACCACAGGGTCCTAGGGTTCGGGAGCTCGGCTGAGCGATCCTAGCGTCTTAGAACCGGGCCTAAACCACAGGGTCAGGGTCCTAGGGTTCGGGAGCTCGGCTGAGCGATCCTAGCGTCTTAGAACTGGGCCTAAACCACAGGGTCCTAGGGTTCGGGCGCAGAAGCGGTGGTGACTTCGCTGGCCCGAAGCAAGGCAGCGACGGGATGCAGTGGAGGAGAGCCGCAGCCGAACTAGGTCCAGGATCGTAAGCTTGGTCGGGGAAGCCCCAACTCGATAGGTTCACAAGCGCATTCGGCGATCGTTCGTCGCGGGATTTCTGGGTTGCCGAGTGCTGTAAGTGCTTAAGGTGGGGGAAAGGGCACAAGACAACTCCTCCTATTGGGGTTCGGGTCTAAACCACACGACACAGGGTCCTAGGGTTCGGGTGCTCGGTTCACTCGCTGGAGGAAGAGCTGTCTGAGGACGAGGATGACGACGAGCTGCTGCCTGATGAGGAAGATGGAGCAGCAGCCTTTGGCGCCGCTGCCGCACGTGCGCTTGCACTTGCACTTGCACGCTTCCGCTTTCTACTTGGCACAGCAGATGAGGCAGCAGACGGATTGGGCCGAGGATCAGACGGCTCAGCAGAAATGCTATCAACCCGGCAAGCAATCATGGTAGCCTCGTCTGGGAGCTCCTCCAACACGGGATGATAAGCCTGGTGGCTGACCTTGTCCTCGAAGAGGAAGACACTGTTGCACCAGTGCCGGACACGCCATAGAGTCGTCATCTCCTGTGCTTCGTCATCAGGATTAAAGGACATTGTTTTCGTGCACTTCTTGTTTCCGAGAGTATGGGCCGGATGAGGGCACGTGGCCTGCCACGACTGCACCGGTTTAGCCTTGCCCTGCTTCTGAATCTTGTGCGTTATCAAGAAAGCTCCCCAACGGTGTGTCTTGTCTTGGCGACGCCTAGCCAGCAATTCATCGGCGGGCTGCGGCCGCTCAGGCCGCTCAGGAACAGCAGCTTGTGCAGCCCCAACATCGGAGGGTTCTTCATTCAGAATTGCCAGGGCCTCGTCTATTGCCTGGTGATCTCTCTCTCCAACCAAAGGCGACTCCACTTCCACAGCATGTCCTGGTTCCAAAAACGGCGGATCCTCGGACAAGACGGAATCACGGTCGTCCTGGTCCTGATCCCCTGGAAGCTCTGGAGCACCAACAACAGCAGGAATGGGACGTGGCTGGGCAGGTCCAGGCTCACTAGCTAGAAACAAACGATCACGGGCAACAGCACGAGACGTCTCTTTCGGCTCCAGATCGGTTAGTGCCTGAAGTGATGCCTCACCAGAAGCTACCTGAAGAAGGCACTGAAAGTACTTCACAGACGCAAGATGGAAGATTCTTTGCAAACCAAGGGCTATCAGTGCATCACGGTTCTCGTGGATGGCTAACATGGCACGCAGGTAGTGCCTGGACACCACAGGTACTTTCTTTTTGAAGTACCAAGTCTTGCCCGGCCGAGAACCATCCTCCGAAGCTGAAGCTTCCTCTGCAGGGCCATCTGGCAAACGGATCTGCATTTCCAAGCCTTTCCGCTTCTTGTGGGTGGGCAGCTGCAGAGCTACCCAACCTGCATCTCTCAAGCATGCCATGATCTCGTAGCGGGTCCACTGGCCTCGGTCGTCAAGCAGTCGCGGCTGCAAAACCGATACCGGATGGGTTAGTGCCACACGAGTCGAAACCCACTTAAGGGCTTCTGCAGTTAGGCACCAGCCTTCAGCACTGCAATCTTGCGCGGCCCAGCCGCGGTCTTTCATCTGCTGCAGGATTTGCAAAGACGAGTCAGCCGATTTGATGCGAGAACGTCTGAAAGCCGGTTTCAGCAACACTTTTCCCGAACCGGCCACAGCATCAGAAGACATGAAATCCGTGACGACCCGATCCATGCTCGCCTGATCGGCAAGAATCAGAGGTCCCGTCCAAGCGAACCTGACCCGACTCGAAGACTTAAAGCGAAAAACTGAGTGCTGAAAGAGTGCATCATTTATGATGGCACTGGCTGCTGCCAGCGACCCTTCAGAGCCTTGAGGCTTTCCAGTCGTATACAGGACTTTGGCATCAGGCTTTACATCACAGCCGACCACTGGAAACATGGTTACAGCCACATCTGAAGAAGTCAGTGTTGTCATGCAAGACCCTTTGACTTGCTTCAGCAAAGACGGCCTCCAAGACTGGACTTTGAACAAGACACAACGACGAAATCGTTCATCAGCGACTACAGATTGCTCATCACACATGTGGCTGCCCCACGTAGATGCTACGGCAGCGCTATGATCCTGGCCCCGGTCGCAAGGATCAGCTTCGATCAATGCCACCTGACCCGCGTCATCGAGACATGCATCCGCAAACCTGGCATTGCCAGCCAAAGTGCATTGCAACTGACGAAAAGGAAACTCGTTTGCCGGCATGCCTGCAGCAGCATCTTGCAGTGTGGCCGCAAAGAAATCACATGATGAAGTGGCTGTAACACGGAAGTGCTCCAAGGCTAGGTGGCGCTGCAAAGAGTTTGTGTCTGCAATCGTCAGCGGCAACTTGGACGCCGACTTGGCCTGGCCATGCGTCTGCTTGGCATCAAGGACATCTTCCCAGTCGGCGAACTGCGTAGCTGCATCGAGCCGGAACATAACCCTATCTACAAACCCGAAACACTGCAGCTGCTTGTCGGCTTGCTTTTTAGAAAGACTGTCCAAGGCAGTAACAGAAGCATTGCTCTTGAGCCCCAAGTGCTCAAGAACAAAAACTGGCAACCGCAATCGGTCAAAATGCTCTGCCAATTCGACCAACGTCTTAGGATCCTGAGCCGCGTTGTCCATGATTGCGGCTGACCTCAGCACGTTCGCAACGTAAGCCCCGCGATGATTCGGAGCTGTTTCTGTAGCACGTTTGACAACAGCATGGCGTCCCTCTATTGACCTTTCCAGCAGGGGAAGGAAGGCAATGGGTCCCAGCACAGCACGCAGCTGGAAACAATCGTCGGAATCGCGAGGCGACCCCTGCCCAAAACGAACGAGCGAGTCTCGAACATTGGAGTCTGACATGAATGCATGGCACAGGGGGTGGGCACTCGCCTTGTCCGGTTTTGACATAAATTCCCACTCGCCCAGCAAGCGACGGCAGGCAGCACGAGCCGTCGTTTCGGACGGATGCGCAAGGGCCAGAAAGGAGTGTGGCATGGCTGTCCAGTTCGCAAACTTCAACTGCAACATGAAGCTGAAATGCTGCAAACCTGCAACATATTCCGTGAACAGATCGGAGTTTGAAGGAAACACATCGGCAGCTCCTTGCAACTGATCACGCATGAAAGAAACCACGAAACCAGCGGCCAGCTCAGGAGCCCTCCTGCCTTTCATCGGGCAGGCAGCGTAGTGTTTGCACCTATCCTCATCGTCCTGGGCCGCTGCTTCACG